TGCTCCCTTCCTCCCGAATACCTTCCCTCGTGCTCTACGACGTGGCAGCACCCCGCAGCCTGCCGCCAGACCCGGCCCGCCGCCTGTCTCTGCGGGTAGGACGTTACGGGAGCCCAGCCGCGCCCGCCCGGGTTCGCACCTTCCGTGGCTGCTCTCGGGGCACGAGTTGTTGTGACAGAGACCCTGCGGCCCGTGAAGCCTGAACCACTTTGTGTCTGGCCCTTCACGGGGAGTCTGCCGACCCCGTGCTCCGACATCCCCCGGCCCCGGTTTCCTTCCGCACCCGGAGCCGAGCGAGCGTGTGAGAGCCGGCTCTGAGGGAAGCGCTGGCTCAAAGTCATTCCAAGTGAAGAAGCTCCCCTGACCTGGCGAGAGCGAGTGAGACCAGCTGAGCCTCGGCCGACTCCAGGAAGTTGTTTTCCTGCTTTTCTGTCTCCCTCTGCCTTCTCCTCCTGCAGCCGCCTGGGGGCGACGCGCTGGAATTCTGCCTTCTCTCCCTCTGTCTCTCTTCTGTGTTCACTTGGTGGAAGCACCCATCTTCTGTTGGTTTTCCCTTTGTAGCTTTGCCTTTTCTTAATAACATTTTTAAGATTTTATTTTAGAAAGAGGGAGAGAAAGAGGCAGAGAGACGGGGAGGGAACGCCAGGCGGGCTCCACACTGTCAGCGCAGAGCCCGACGCGGGACTCGAACTCACGAAACCGTGAGATCATGACCTGAGCCGAAATCAAGAGTCGGGTGCTTAACCGACTGAGCCACACAGGCGCCCTGTTTGCTTTTTTTTCTTTTTTTTTAATGTGGTAAATAACACATAACACGAGATCCTCCCCCTTAACAGAAGTGTAAGCGTGCGGTCCGCGTTAACCGTGGCCTCGGCTGCGTCTCTCACCCTGCGCGGCCGGAACTTCCGCGCACCGCACGGCGGCCCCGTTTCTCCTCCCAGCCTCCGGCAGCACCCTTGTGCGCCCCGCTGCCGTGAGCCTGGCTCCTTCAGACGCCTCCTGTGAGCAGAATCTTGTAGCATTTGTCCCTCTGCGCCTGGTGTATCTCTCTGGATCTTCCTTTTTCATGGCTGAGTAGTATTCCAGCGCCGGGCCGCAGTTTGTTTATCCTTTCATCCGTCAGCCGGCATTAGGGGTTTCTAGCTCTTAATTGTTGTCAGTGGTGTTGCTCTGGACACGGGGGTGCAAACACCTCTTCAAGACCCCGATTTCAGGGTTTTTTCCTTTGGCTAAATACCCCAGAGGTGGGCGGCTAGATGTTCTTCTAATGTTTTAAGGAAACCCTGTACTGTTTTCCATTGCAGCTGTACCTTTTTATATTCCCAGCAGCAGTATACAAGGGTTCCGGTGTCTCCCACGTCCTCACCAACACTTACATATTCTGCTGTTTCTCTTTTTTTAACGGACATCCTAGCAGGTGTGAGGTGGTGTCTCGTGGCGGTGTGGATTTGCGTTTTCCTGACGATGAGTGAGGTCGAGCATCTTACTCTGTGCCCGTTGGCTCCAAAACGGAATCAGGACACATAGGAAATGTGCACAGTTAGTTACTGGTAACAAAATTACATCACTGATCAAAAAACTCCCACCAAACACAAAGGCCAAGGCCAGGTGGATCACAGGCCAATTCTACCAAGCATTTAAAGAGTTCTCCTGAAACCATTCCACAAAGAAAAAGAGGGAGGAAACCTTCCGAATTCATTCTACCGAGAGGTCAGCATCACCCAGATAATAAAACCAGGCAAAGATACTACAAAAATAGAAAATTACAGACCAATGTCCTCGATGAACATAGAAGCAAAATCCCTCAACAGGATATTAGTAAGCCATATTCAACAACACATTAAGTGGATTATTCACCAAGATCAAGTGAGACTTGTTCCAGGGAGCCAAGAATGGCTCAGTAGTTGCAAAGCAGGCCACAGGATGCACCCCATTAACAGAACGAGGGATAAAAACCATATGATCATCTCAGCTGCAGAAAAAGCATGTGACAAAGTACAACATCCAGTCGTGGCAAAAACGCTCAACAAAGTAGGGTTAGAGGGAACATTCCTCGACGCGATACAGGCCGTGTATGAAAGACCCATAGCCAACATCATCCTCAGTGGGGAAGCCTGGGAGCTGTTCCCCTAAGGTCAGGAACAAGGCAGCGATGTCCAGTCTCACTGTTCAAGACAGGACTGGGAGTCCTGGCTGCAGGACACAGACAAGAAAAAAGAGTAAAAGGCATCCGAATTCATCCGAATTGGTAAAGAAGAGGCAGAACTGTCTCTGTCTGGAGATGATACGATGCTACACGCGGAAAATCCCGAAGACCCCACTGAGCATCTACTGGGTAAAGTCCCGGGGTACAAGGTTGATACGCAGAAGTCCTGCACCTGTGGGCCAGCGCTGGCCTTCCCTGGAGAAGCGTCTGCTCAAGGCCTCTGTCCTTCCCGGAATCGGGTTGTTTGCCGTCTGAAGCTGGAGGGATCACTTCGTCTTTACCTCTGGAGCCTCCGTGCCGCTACCGGGCCGACTCCACACCACGCCCTCTGCTGCCCCTCTGTGTGAGCCTCCTGCCCTACTTACTGCCTCCGCATCACCCCGCCCCTGCCAGCCTTCCCTTTCGGAAATCTCCACAGACCCAACTCGGACACGTCCTCGAAAACCCGGGTCAAGGCAGAGTTCGCGTGGATCCTCCCCTGACCGCCCGGCCAGCCGGGCGCCTCTCTGCTGAGGAGGTGGCTGTGTCGTGTCTGATTGGGTGCTGCACACGTGCTAACCCCCAGCTCCTGAAGGGGAGGAAGCGCATCCCCTGGGGGTGCTTCACACAAGGCGCCTTGACACGCTGTGAAGAGGCAGGAAGCCCGGAAAAGACGAGTGCACGTGCATCCTAAGTATAGACGACAGAGCTCAGCTTGCAGCCCGAGGGTGGTCTGGCAACAAGAAGGGACATGGAGGGAGCCAAGTGTAAGTGCACAACAGGAGAAAGGTAACGGTCAGTGACCAGGGCCTCGCCGCGAATTTGGATGGGAATAGACCAGCGGGTTTGTGCGGAGGGACAGAAGGACACGGCCGTCCTCGGAACCGGGCTCTGCTGGAGTTCGGCAGGTGTGGGCCGGCGGGTGTGGGCTGGGAGCCAGAGAGAAGCCAAGTGCACCTCGTGGCTCCACAGGGCGCAGAGCGGCTGTTGGCCGTGGGGGCCGGGCCGGCTGCCGTCTGGACGTCCCTGCTCCCGACACCCTGTTCAGACGGTTCGTGGCTTCCAACCCTGGTGTGTTCCCGGCAGCAGTGCTGCAGAAGGGGTCAAGGCAAGCCCTGGACGGCCTTCCAGAGGCCGAGGACCAGTACGGGAGGGCCCCCGGGCACGCCCCTGAGTTGGACCCGTGGGGTGGCTCTGGAGCAGCGCGGGTCCGTCAGTCTCCCTGGACGAGACCGCGGGGACCCTTCCGTGGGCCTCGCGAGCCCTTGGAGATTCTCCACCTCACGGTCCTCACCGCCTTCTTCATGAGACCCCCTCACACCTTCCCCCGTGGCCGGGTCTTTACAGCCTCGAGGACCCCGCCTTCCTGCCTGAGCCCCAGCCTGCTCGGTCTTGATGACGCCGTGGCCGGCTCTGATCCCTGTGGTCCCTGGGAAGGTTCCAGCCAGAGGGCCGTTACGGGGACCCATTTCATACCTTTGGAGCACCCCTGGTAGGCCAAAGCCTGCGGTCACGTGAATCCGGGGAAACCGGACGACCAGGCAGGCCTTGCCTCTCCGGTGGGAGGGCAATGAAATTTGCAGGTGGTGTGGCCCTCTTCCTGCCCACTGCCCTGGGGAGCAGCTCTGTCCTTTCTGGCTTTTTTCTGACCCTCTCTTGCCCCTCCTGGACATGGGCCCCCTGGCCTGGGAGGCACGCAGGATCGTACGGACACTTAAAAGAAAGGAAAAAAGTTCTTAGGCCCCATCCATGGAATTCTCTTTAGGTGTGGATGGGGTCTGGGAATCTGCATTTTTGTACTTACAGTTGACCCTTGAACTACTCGAGGGTTAGGGGCGCTGACCTCTACACACAGTTGAAAACACATACAACTTTTGACTCTTCCAAAACCTACCTTCTCCCAGCATGCTGTTGACCAGAAGCCTTGTGATGACACAGTTATCACATGTTCTGTGTGCATCATGTACTGTTCTGTACGGTAAAATAAGCCAGAGAAGAGAAAGTCATAAGGAAGTCATTAAGTCATAATTAAGAAACCGTAAGGAAGTGGGGCTCCTGGGCAGCTCAGTCGGCTAAGTGTCCGACTTCGGCTCAGGTCATGATCTCATCGTTCGTGGGTTTGAGCCCCGCATCGTGCTCTGTGCTAACAGCTCAGAGCCTGGAGCCTGCTTCGGATTCTGTGTCTCCCTCTCTGCCCCCACCCTGCTTGTGCTCTCTTTCTCTCTCAAAAATAAACATTAAAAAAAAAGAAACTGTAAGGACGAGAAAATACATCTGCAGTACGGGACCGTATCGGGAAAAGCCACATAACAGTGGACTTTCCGCAGTTCAAACCCATATTGTTGAAGGTACACACAGAAGGGCGTCTGGAAGGATGATTGACGGACTTAACTGAATTGCCGAGTAATTTTTATTTCCTTCTTTGACCCTGTGCTTGTTGGGTTTCCTAGAGTGGTCATATATTTCTTTAGAAATCGGAGAGAGGGGGGTGCCTTGGTGGCTCAGTCGGTTGAGCGACTGACTTCAGCTCAGGTCATGATCTCTTGGTCCGTGAGTTCGAGCCCCACGTCGGGCTCTGTGCCGACAGCTCGGAGCCTGGAGCCTGCTTCAGATTCTGTGTCTCCCCCTCTCTCTGCCCCTCCCCCGCTCACGCTCTGTCTCTCTGTCTCAGAAATACATAAACATAAAAAAAATAAATGACATTTAGAAATCGGAGAGAGGCTGGACGCCATCCGAAAGCAGGAACCAGATCCGCGAGTGGTCCGTCGCTTTCGGAAACCGTTAACGCTCTTCTGTGTGTTCGTCTCTTCCACAGGGGGACTTGATCTCATCTTTGTGCCGGGTCTTGGGTTTGACAAGCATGGCAACCGGCTGGGGAGGGGCAAGGGCTACTACGACTCCTACCTGACGCGCTGTCTGCAGCAGCGGGACTCGAAGCCCTACACCGTGGCCTTGGCGTTCCGAGAACAGATGTGCCTCCGGGTCCCCGTGGACGAACACGACGTGAGGGTGGATGAAGTCCTTTATGAAGACTCCACGTAGATCCCGATGCCTGCGGCCCGGAGAAAAGCAGAATACGTGTTTCCCCTCGTCACGAGGTAGCGTGCGTTTTGCCCACTCATGGTGAATGTGGACTGCATTGTTTCTAGTGGAATTGCAAACGCCTCACATTAAAGCATCTTCCAAAACCAGTAGTGGAACGTTACTTAAAGTGGAGGCTGTCACACGTGATGTTCCGCGTAACTTCCTGCCGTCAGCGTGGCGGGCTGATCGTTCTGCTCTGCAGCTTAAGCTAGATGTGAGTGAGGACCTGTGTCCGGCTCGGGGCGCCCGGAAGGTAGACCCCCCCCCCCCCCCCCCCCCCCCACCCCC